GCAAATTAGGTGGATCCTACCACAACATATCTTCAGTTATATATGACTCCATCTTGTGTAATTCTGTCTTCATTTGACACAATCCTAAAAAGGACTGATGTGTTTTCTGTCGTCCTCTTTTTCTTACGGATGCAGTATCTGCTTGATACAGCAAGCTGAAAGAAACTCTGGGTTGGTCACTAAAGAAATATGTGATCTTGATGAAATGCGGCACCCTTTTCTCTTCCCTATCAGCTAGAGGTTCAGAATACGCACACTGCATCTCTGCAGAGAGGTGAGACTCTCCAATAAGGTATCGTGGGTAACACGATGAACTACATCCGGCAGCAAGGCCTCTGATCAGGAGGTTTTGAGGAGAGTGGAACTACCTCTTTTGCTGGTGTTTCCAGATCCACCCTGACCCGGTGTGGTAGGACCTGTTAGGGTCCCAGCTATGGGAAAATAGTTAACCCCCAAATTGAGGTCAAAATACCAGGAGTGTAAAAATTGGTTTCAATACCAGCAATACATTTTTGGAAGAAAAAATTACCAGCAATACATTTTTAGAAAAAAATGTATTACCAACAATATATATTAAATAAATATTACCAGCAATACATTTTAATATATATATATATATATATATATATATATATATATATATATATATATATATATATATTACCAGCAATTCATTTTCTAAAAAAATATTACCAGAAATACATTTAAAAAATATTACCAGCAATAGGTTTTAAAAAAATTACCATCAATATATTGAAAAAAAATATTACCAGCAATACATTTTTGAAAAAATATTACCAACATTACATTTTTGAAAAAAAAAATAATACCAGCAATAGATTTTTTTAAATGTATTACCAGTAATACATTTTCAAAAAAAATATTAACAGCAATAATTTTTCAAAAAAAAAATATTACCAGCAATAAATTTTAAAAACATTACCATCAATACATTTAAAAACATATTAGGAGCAATACATTTTTGAAAAAATAAATATTAGCAGCAATAAAAATCCTGACATTAAATAACCCATTGAAGTTGATATGCCGTAAAACAAAACAACACAAACAAGGGACCCTTTTCTGATCCAAGTGTTTTTTTTTCTTAACAAAAAATAATAATGATGATAAATAAAAGATTTAATAAATGGGCGATGTCGAAATATAAGGAAAACATTCCAATAAGGCGTCTATTTTCAAAGAACTGCTATTTTCTTTATCAAACTCCTGCATTGATGCTTCCTTGAACACTGTAAACGTAACCGATTCAACTTCAGTGTCAATCCTTATGTATCCTCCTTATCCTCCCAGTCGTCATACCACTTGATCACATTACACACCTTGTTCGTCATAACCATTTCATACCTTGAAAATATACTTGACCTTGAGTAACGACATCGTCCTTCGGTTATTTTGACATTAACCTTCATGTTCTTTTAAGTTAGATATCTCTTGTCGAGTAGAAGTAAGGTCCCAAGGTATGTCACTTTTTATATAATTATTCCTGTGATCAAAACGTTGCTCTTTCTTTTAATTTCTCTTATTTGACTAAAAGATTTATTTTGACTACAAGGGAAACTTGCTTTTTTCAGCCTACTTGGCAAATAGAATGTGCTGATATATAGTGTGCACCACGTTCTTATGCGTAGATGTACGAATCATAACTTCTTTACACTGCGCTCTGTGCATCACATGACATGCAATAATCATTTTAATAAAGTGGAAAAATAGATGTCTTTTATTTGAGACTTTACGTTATCTGTCAAGCGTTCCGTGGTCATATATGATACCCAAAATATTAGATTAAGCCTTTACTCAGACGCCCTGCTCAATAGTAAACTCTTTACTTAAGGGTCCTTAGTTTTACCAAACTTTTAAAATCATGGCTCGTGGGTACCATATAGGATGCACGGAAGTAGAAATCACATGTACTGCGCATCACATAGGATGCGCAGGACAGGTAAAAGGTTAAGAAACAGGAAATTTTCGTAGTAACAAAGAAAAGACTACTTATCTGCTACGTAATATCAGTCCTCTTATATGGCAGTGAATGCTGGACAATATCCTCACAGGTGAAGAGAAATCTGAAGGCAACAGAAATATGATTTTACAGAAGGATGCTGAGGATGCCATGGAAGGAATATCAGAGAATATGGGAAACATCAAGGAGGTTTTGAAGAAAATGGGAACAAAAAGGATACTTATACTTAGAATCAGAAAGAGACAGTTGAAAATATCTGAGACACGTAATAAGGCAGATGGCTTGGAGAATTTGACAAGCTTCTTGATTCAAAGAACCTTCATGGACTCAAAGAATCAAAGAACCATCATGGACTCAAAGAATCAAACAACCTTCATGGACTCAAAGAAGCAAACAACCTTCATGGACTCAAAGAATCAAACAACCTTCATGGACTCAAAGAAGCAAAGAACCTTCATGGACTCAAAGAATCAAACAACCTTCATGGACTCAAAGAAGCAAAGAACCTTCATGGACTCAAAGAATCAAAGAACATTCATGGACTCAAAGAATCAAACAACCTTCATGGACTCAAAGAATCAAACAACCTTCATGGACTCAAAGAAGCAAACAACCTTCATGGACTCACTTCAAAAAGAATCAAACAACCTTCATGGACTCAAAGAATCAAACAACCTTCATGGACTCAAAGAATCAAACAAAATGGACTCAAAGAATCAAACAACCTTCATGGACTCAAAAGAAGCAAAGAACCTTCATGGACTCAAAGAATCAAACAACCTTCATGGACTCAAAGAATCAAACAACCTTCATGGACTCAAAGAATCAAACAACCTTCATGGACTCAAAGAAGCAAACAACCTTCATGGACTCAAAGAATCAAACAACCTTCATGGACTCAAAAATCAAAGAACCTCAAACAAACCCCTTCATGGACTCAAAGAATCAAAGAATCAAACCCTTCATGGACTCAAAGAATCAAACAACCTTCATGGACTCAAAGAATCAAACAACCTTCATGGACTCAAAGAAAAAGAACCTCAAAAAGAATCAACCTTCATGGACTCAAAGAATCAAACAACCTTCATGGACTCAAAAGAATCAAACAACATTCATGGACTCAAAAGAATCAAACAACCTTCATGGACTCAAAGAATCAAACAACCTTCATGGACTCAAAGAATCAAACAACCTTCATGGACTCAAAGAATCAAACAATCAAACAACCTTCATGGACTCAAAGAATTCAACTCAAAGAATCAAACAACCTTCATGGACTCAAAGAATCAAACAACCTTCATGGACTCAAAGAATCAAACAACCTTCATGGACTCAAAGAATCAAACAACCTTCATGGACTCAAAAGAATCAAACAACCTTCATGGACTCAAAGAATCAAACAACCTTCATGGACTCAAAAGAATCAAACAACCTTCATGGACTCAAAGAATCAAACAACCTTCATGGACTCAAAGAATCAAACAACCTTCATGGACTCAAAGAATCAAAAAGAATCACAACCTTCATGGACTCAAAGAATCAAACACCCTTCATGGACTCAAAGAATCAAACAACCTTCATGGACTCAAAGAAGCAAACAACCTTCATGGACTCAAAGAATCAAACAACCTTCATGGACTCAAAGAAGCAAACAACCTTCATGGACTCAAAGAATCAAACAACCTTCATGGACTCAAAGAAGCAAACAACCTTCATGGACTCAAAGAATCAAACAACCTTCATGGACTCAAAGAATCAAACAACCTTCATGGACTCAAAGAAGCAAAGAACCTTCATGGACTCAAAGAATCAAACAACCTTCATGGACTCAAAGAATCAAACAACCTTCATGGACTCAAAGAATCAAACAATGGACTCAAAGAATCAAACAACCTTCATGGACTCAAAGAATCAAACAACCTTCATGGACTCAAAGAATCAAACAACCTTCATGGACTCAAAGAATCAAACACCCTTCATGGACTCAAAGAATCAAACAACCTTCATGGACTCAAAGAATCAAACAACCTTCATGGACTCAAAGAAGCAAACAACCTTCATGGACTCAAAGAATCAAACAACCTTCATGGACTCAAAAAGAAGCAAAAAACCTTCATGGACTCAAAGAATCAAATAACCTTCATGGACTCAAAGAATCAAACAACCTTCATGGACTCAAAGAATCAAACAACCTTCATGGACTCAAAGAATCAAACAACCTTCATGGACTCAAAGAATCAAACAACCTTCATGGACTCAAAGAACAAACAACCTTCATGGACTCAAAGAATCAAACAACCTTCATGGACTCAAAGAAGCAAACAACCTTCATGGACTCAAAGAAGCAAACAACCTTCATGGACTCAAAGAAGCAAACAACCTTCATGGACTCAAAGAAGCAAACACTCAAAAAGAATCAAACAACCTTCATGGACTCAAAGAAGCAAACACCCTTCATGGACTCAAAGAATCAAACAACCTTCATGGACTCAAAGAAGCAAACACCCTTCATGGACTCAAAGAATCAAACAACCTTCATGGACTCAAAGAATCAAACAACCTTCATGGACTCAAAGAAGCAAAGAACCTTCATGGACTCAAAGAATCAAACAACCTTCATGGACTCAAAGAAGCAAAGAACCTTCATGGACTCAAAGAGTTTGTTGATGGCACTAACGAGGTCGATTGGTCGATATTGCGACGACGATAATAGTTAACCTGCATTCTTGAAAACAGTGAATAGAGCTGATACGTCCTATAGTCTTTGGGAGTTTTTCATCTTCAGGAAGCGATTAACCAATTTTACCAAGATTAGAGATAACTCTGCATTAAGATTCTTAACCACCGGAATTTTATCCGGGTCGGTAATCACCGTAGAGACAAGGATTTAGATGGGTCTGGAAATTTCCGTAGGGAAGTTAGTAAGTTCGTTAGTACGTGCAATACGCCACACCAGATAGATAATGGATCTTTCCTGTTTGACGTCAACAGAAGTCAAGAAAAGTATTTGTTTGGGAAACTATTTGGATTTAATGAGACAAAGAAACCTATCTAATACAAAAAGAATGAAAGAAAGAAAGAAAGAAAGAAAGCAAAAGATAGCAAAGAAATCTAATAGAAAGAAAGAAAGAAAGAAAGAAAGAAAGAAAGAAAGAAAAAGATAGCAAAGAAATCTAACAGAAAGAAAGAAAGAAAGAAAGAAAGGGAAGATAGCGGAGGCGATAACACTCTCGTATAGTTAACGTCTGCTTCAATGAAATGGAAAAACTTGTTAACTTTTTTAGTTTTTACGCTCAAATATTTTTGTAATGTACGGTGGCCGTTAATGATTAGGTATAACTCAAGTTTTCAGTGTTAAAATAATACAGCCTTTAATTACAACCGCAAATAAATACTTAACAAGAACAAAGAAATAAAAGTCAACCAAAGATAATTAACCATTTCAGTGAATACTTTGTTAGTAGCGCGGCTCACCTTAACGTCCTGTAAATCCTATATCAAAACTCAAATCATCGACGGGAAATAATTCACACTAATTCGACTGGATAGTTCCACTGAATAGTCACTCGGTCAGTAACCTGACACCGCTAGATATCTACCTGGCGGAAAACATATATTCATGAATCCAGAGTGTCAAGTTCGAACCTCGGTGTCAGTACTTACTCATTTTCTTCCTATATGACGAATATATTACGATATCCTTAATGTATTTCCAATATAGTTGCAGAACTCGAAGGAATTTATTCAAACATTAAATTAAGAATTATGATTCATCAGAAAATCCAAATAGAAGATCCATGGATTTTTCACAGATGTTGCTAGCATTAAATAATCACTAAATTTACTACGAATATATTGAAACTCCAGTAGCAGAAGTATGGCGACAAATATTTGATCAATGTGATTTTCTTTCGTCTTAATTCTCAATGAAAACATAATGGTCCATTATGTATCTGAGGCAATGGCAGTGCGTAACGTACGCGCGAACTAACTTATTAACTAACGAAGAAACGTGACTTCCTCCTCCTGACAAAATATAAATGCAGATATGGCTCGGTGGAAGATTAAATAACCTACATTTAAATAGCATAGAGATTATATTTATTTCCCTAACCGGATGTGGAGTAGTAGTATTATTCATTGAGTAGATCATAAAATCTTTCTAGTCGATTTTACTTATAAAATACATGTTATCTTTGTAGCAGTAATTATAGATTTCAATTATTACAAAAAAAAAAAAAAAAAAAACGCGTAAAAGGCCCCCTCCGTCATCATTGTATAAAAGTTTTTTTTTTTTTCAAAATTTAAGGATATAAACTTATCAATATCCACTTCTAAGTAAGCTTCTCCGTTAATGAAAGAAAATTAATAAGAAAATTCTTTTGTTTAGGTTGACACCGGTGACGACAGGTGTTGCCATTTCTTAAGGCTTACAATATTTTTTTCAAGAATATCAGATAAGAAAAAGCCACGAAAACACTAATGCACTGACCATTCTTTTCTTCGTCACAAAAAAGTAGGTTTTAGAGATTGTTAAAAAAAAAGAAAAGAATAAATAAATAAATAAGAAAGAAAGAAAGAAAAAAGGAAGGAAGAAAGAAAGAAATGCCCAGTCAGTACGTCATAAATAATGGACTATTCCGTTTTGATCGCGAGGAAAGACAGAAAAGACATATCAGATTCGCTGTTTTGTTTCAGTGAGAAAAGAAAGAAAGAAAGAAAGAAAGAAAGAAAGAAAGAAAGAAAGAAAGAAAGAAACTGCCAGCAAGTAATACACTATCCAGTTTTGGTTGCGAGGAAAGACCGAAAAGACATATCAGATTTGATGTTTGGTATCAATGAAAAAAAGGAATAAATAAATAAAGAAAGAAAGAACGAAAGAAAGAAAAAGAAAAAAAAGAAAGAAAAAAAGTAACCGTCGGCCAATACCTCATAAGTAATGAACTATCCCATTTTGATTACGAGGGAAGACAGGAAGGATATCAAAGACACTGTTTGGTTTCAGTGAGAAAAAGAAAGCAAGCAAGAAAGAAAGCAAGAAAGAAAGAAAAAGAAAGAAAGAAAGAAAGAAAGAAAGAAAGGAACCGCCTGCCAATACCTCATAAGTAACGAACTATTCTATTTTGATCGCAAGGAAAGACGGAAAAAACAAGTGAAAGAAAGAAAGAAAGAAAGAAAGAAAGAGGCAAAGGATGAGAAAAAGGAAAAGCTAAGAAAGAAAGAAAGAAAGAAAGAAAGAAAGAAAGAAAGAAAGAAAGAAAAAGGAATCAAGAAAGACGCAGATAGGAAAAGAAGGAAACAATGAAAAATGGAGAAACGACAAAGAAAAAAGAAGTAAGAAAGAAAGAAAGAAAGAAAGAAAGAAAGAAAGAATGAATGAATGAATGAATCAAGAGGCAGAACGGAAAAGAAAGAAAGAAACAATGAAAAAGGGAGAAACGACAAAGAAAAAGCAAACAAACAAGAAAGAAAGAAAAGGAGACAAATATCTTCTCATATTTTCTAATTGTTCGATTATTTTTTCTAAAGGACGCACCCATTGTTAAACATTAAGAAGTGCAGTACATTTGCTTAATGAAAAGAAAAAGACAAAAAGATAAATAACAAAAAAATGTAAAAAGAAAAAGCACAGCTAAAAATGTTTGATTGTCTGTGATGGCAAATAATCTTGTCAGATTTTTTTGTTGTTTTCGCCTTTCTTATTTTTTTTTTTATTTCTCTTTTGATATATATTTTTTTTGTTTTCTTTCTCCCTTGTTGGTTTTAGTCTCCCCTTTCAAACGTACACCAGGCGAGAGTCGTGAAGAGCTATGTAACCAATTTATGACAGCAGCAGCAGCTTTGGCGGCAGCACATTTTCTACTCTCGTCCAAGATGGCTATCTGGAGCCGTAGGTGATTCATCAAGCTCCATTAGCCAGTCTGAATGACCAGATGGTACATGCTCTCGTTTGTGAAAAAAAACAAAAAACGTTGCCACTCATTTATTGAATATGTCTGTAGATAATATTTCAGACAATGATAGTTTAGCCAGAGATAAGAGCAATACCAGCCTTCAAATACAAACAGGTGAGAATACAAGCAATTCTAACTTAGATGATGGTTTAAAATATTAACTACTTCTTCCATATGCCGTACCCATTCAGCACGTGGACGATCATGGCTCACCACATCTTCCTACCCTTTGTAGCTCATTTTGCCATCCCTCCCACCCTCGTTCTGCCATCCAGCCACAGAAGTTCGTCAAGTAGGTCACCTTCTGCCTTCCCCTTCTCCCTTGCTTTCGATATGTCCTTTGATTGTCAAATTTTCCAAGCCCTCCTTTCTCATGTGACCCAGAAAATTTCAGCTGTTTCTGATTCTGAGTATAAGTTTCCAATTTCCTTAAGACTGTCTTCATTCCACGACATTCTCAGCATCCTTCTGTAGAACGATATTTCTGTCACCACCAGTTTTCTCTTCACTTGAACTACACTTCTTTTGTGTGCCGTATCCCTTCAGGGCATTGGCTCTCCACAACTTCCTCTCCTTTGTAGCTTTTAATAATGTTTGTCTTTTGGCTATATCTCCTAAACTCTGTTCTGCTAACCATTTTCAAAAGCTCGTTAGGTAGGTTATGCGTTGTTTCCCCTTCTCCCTCTTGCCTTCAATAATATTAAAAATAATAATGGCTAGTATAATATATTAATATATATTTTTAACCTCGCACAATCTGACAACCCTGAATCTGAGCTCAACGAAAATCGTTCCTTGCGCCTAGGGCTTTTGAATGAGCTACGAATCATTGGAATCGGACCTGTGGGGGTGGAGGTGTTACTTGAACACACATACACGCACAAACACACATATACTGTACTTTATATATAAGATATTTTAATATGGCGTCGATTACTGTATTAATTCCAATTCTCAGTTGTAAGAACATTTCCGAAGTGGACATGGACCACAAGACATTACCGTCGACCCCCAATCTGCTATTATTTTTTTTTGTGTGTGTGGACCCCCCCATTAATGTCACATGGACCCAGATTGAGAACTACTGCTGTAAAATATATTCTAACCAATTGTAGTGACCTTGTCCCTAAACGTCAACGATTTTATGACATGATATATTGCCAGAAATAGATTTTTGAAAAAAAATATTCATACATATTCTAATCATACGAACTTGAATTAAAAATCTCGTCGGCATTAACAACCTATTGAAGAGAGATGCCGTAAAACAAAATAAACCAAACGAAACCACCTTGATTTCAATATGTCCTGTTAGTGTTAAATTTTCTAAGCCTACTTTCCTCATTATGTGCACTATTTCAAATGTTTCTTTCTGGTGCTAAGTGTAAGTGTCCTTTTCGTTTCCATTTTCTCTGAAACTGTCTTGTTTCTCACATTTTAGTCCATGGTATTCTCATCATCCTTCTGTAGAACCGCAACTCTATAGCCTCAAGTATTCTTGTCACCTGTGAGGAAACTGTCTAGGATCGACTGCTATATAGCAGGATTGATTTTACATAGTAATTCAAACATATTTTTCTTGCTTTTAACAAAGTTTTCCTGTTTCGTAATACTTTTAGTTTTTAGAATCTATCTTTTGATATTCCAATGTAGCTTTGGATTTCGGTGCCACATTTTTCGTCATCTGCATTTCTTTGATGTTGACATCTTCAGTTAGCTGTTCGCATCTTGGGCTTTTTCTCTTGCTGATAACTATACATTCTATCTTCTCACAATTGATAGTTAGTCCTTTCTTCTCGCTCTCCTTTACTACCGAGAGGTCCTGTAGTTTTCTTTCTATGTCTACAGTTTTATATGCGTATCTTATGTTGCTAAGATTGCGCTCACTGATAAGTAAATCCTGTTAGAAGTTCTCATAGGATTGCCTCACTGTTTAGGTTGAATAAAATCCGGTGATTGTCCTCTTACTATCTACTCAACACGCCGTCCTGCCATCCATTTATCCAAGCTCATTAAGGGGCTTACTCATTGTTTCCCACTGTCCGTCTTGCCTTCAGTATGCCATGTGAGTACCAAATTTTCCAAGCCTTCTTTCTTCATTATGTGTGACCCGAAATTTAAACAGTCTCTTTCTAGTTTCAATTATAATTGTTCTTTTCGTTTCCATTTACCTTTAAACTTCCTAGTTAACTAAATGATCGGTTCATGGTATTCTCAGCATCCTTCTGTAGAACCCAAACTCTATAGCCTCAAGTATTCCCATCACCTGTGAGGAAACTGTCTAGCATCGTCTACCGTATAGCAGGATTGTTTTTACATAGTGTTGTTCATGATGACGGTCGTCTTTGAGTATAGAATCCAGAGGTTAGCAGTGAATATTTCGAAGACAGTAGGAAAGCGTTGTTCAGATTAGCAGTGGATATTTTGGTAAAAGTAGCAGAGCGTAGTTTGTCCTTCTGTTTCTCTTCGCCTGACAAGCTGGCACTGGACATTCGGATAGAGTAAACAAAATGGCCGCCTTTATACACGACGGGTTGAATATTCTACGTCTTCTGATTGGTTAACCTTCTATTGGTGGACTATAAAGTGAGTCAAGTCATTTGGGCTAGCTCACTAGTTACATAATGTATCCAAAAATTGTAACACATAGCTGTTCAAGCATATTGTCATTGCTTTTAACAAAGTTTTCCTGTTTATTAATACTTTTAGTTTTTGGAATCTATCTTTTGATATTCCAATGTAGCTTTGGATTTCGGCGCCACATTTACCTTCCTCTGTTAAAACACTTGACAGATATTTACACTTCTGTACAACTTACGTGCTAATAATACCCAAGGGAAAAACATGAATCCTCCTCTTCTCCACCCCAGCAGGAGAGACCGGTTCTATAGCAGAAAGAAATGGCAACCTACTGCGGGAAAAAAAATCTGCCTCGTCAGTCATGTATCGAAAGCTACATGATTGCCTAAGCATATATCACGCTGACTGAAATTCACTTACGCTCTAATACCCTTGGGAAATGTATGAATTCTCTTCTTCATCCACCCCCTGCGCCAGATATGGGTAAATAGCAAGACAGACCGGGTTCTGTAGCCTTGGATGGCATCTGGTCTACCGCTGAAAGAAATGGCAACCTACTGCGGGAAAAATCTGCCTAGCCAGTCTGGTATCGAAAGATACATGATCGCCTAAGCGTTTATCACGCATGGCATATAACTGACTGACATTCATTCTAAAGCAAAGATCTGAGATGTTACTGAAGAGAAATAATTAATTTTTTATGAAATTTTGTAATAGACATCGATCAAGTCATATGAATCCTTTTCTCCCCCACCCCCAACTATTGGTATATAGCAGGACAGACAGGGTTCTGTAGCCTTGGATGGCAACTGGTCTACTGAAGAGAGAAATGGCAACCAACTGCGGGAAAAATCTGCTTTGTCAGTCATGTATCGAATGTGTATCACGCATGGCACATAACTTGACTGAATTCGTAGATCGCATCTTAGGATTTTCCACTCGCTGACAACCAAACATTCTCTCTTCTTAAAATTGATTGTTAGTCCTTTCTTCACGCTTTCCTTGTCTAGAAGGTACGGTAGTTTTCCGATTGTGTCTGTTATCAACCCAGTGACATCTGTGTATTTTATATATTATAAAGATTGCACCCACCGATATTAAATCCGGGTAAGGGTTTCCAGATCCTTTAGGGTAACTTCAATGTAGAGGGTGAATAAATCCGAAGTTTTGGTAATTTTGATATAAATAATCACAGAATTTCAACTAATCCAAAGAAATCATCAATAGTTTAAGAAAATTATCTTTTTAACACTTTATTCAATAAAAATCAGTCAAGGTAAGGAAGAGTCGAAAAGACTTACTCTGCAGTTAAAAATCCATGGGAGTTTTTTTTTTTTTTAAATTGACCCAAAAAGTAATTGTTTTGTACTTTAAATAAGAGAAATTTATATAACATGGTTAAAAAAAAGAAAAGTGAGACATGATATGTTTTTAGAAATTTTATTATGACAAAAAGAAAAAAATAAATTATGATTCAATATTCCTCTCGTGGCTATAGAGTTTTGGTTCTACAGAAGGATGCTGAGAAAACCAATATTCTCCTTTAGCCTTGATTACTGCTGCACAAAATTTTGGCATTCGTTGCAAAAGTTTCTCAAAATATAGTTATTTTCCAAGCGTCGCTTAGATGTGGCACAAGTCCGAAAATTGGGGGCAAGTTTCTCAAAGTATAAATCGGATAATTGATTCCATTCTATTTTTTTATTACTCTAAGAGCTCTTTTTTGAATAACTTTTGAACTGTAGTGTATATATATATATATATATATATATATATATATATATATATATATATGAAAGTGAACATAGAAGTCAACATAGAGGCGACAGCCTGTTTCATGCCAGATGCAATCCTCAGGCCATGAATCTAGCATGAAACAATCTGTCGCCTCTAAGTGTTGACTTCTGTGTTCACTTTTATATTTACACACGCTCTATCTCTGATATTGAGCACTTTAACCCTTAAATATAGCACATCTTAAGACTATATTTCTTCATATATATATATATATATATATATAAACTATCTTCTGCGAAGGGCTCTTAATTGGGCCTTTATCACAATAGGTAGGGAGGAGTAAAGGACTCAAAATTGATTGTTGCATTTAAGTATTGCATTAATATTTAAGCTTACCTTTTAAAAGTTCAACGATAATTCTTCTGCCACCACTTAGTTTAAAGACAGTTTGATGTACGTAGGTCCTTACTTTCCGTATAGACAATTATTTTTTAAGTCATCGGGGACTTTCGCTGGATTTCGCAATTAATTTCGATTATTCCCAAATTTATTTCCAAGCTATAAAAGTTGTTATCATACAAACAAATTCGTTGCAAAACCTCACGAAAAAACATCGCCGAAAACAATCGCAG